TGGCTCAGTGGTTAAGCTCCCCTGGTTCAATCCCTGGTACCAAAAAGTAAATAAAGACACAGAACCAGAAACACCAAGCCGTGAAAGGGGTAAAAAGAGGTGAGACCCGAGATCCTGGGAGATCTCCAGCTACTCCCAGAGAAGAATCTCTTCCCCTTGATGAGCCTGTCGCTCTTCCTACCACCCCTCAACCTCCTGAGAGGACAAGACCTTGGTCTTTCTGGGGGACGAGCGTCCAGACCTGGCTTCATGGGGCGACGAAGCCATTTTCTCCCCTACTCCAGGGAGTCCCAGGGCCGGCACTTGGTGGCCTGCAATCCACACTTGATGAAGACATCCTCCTGGAAGCCCCCCATGTCCACCTGGGTACCCCACCCCCACAACACACCGACGATGCCGAGTCCCTGTTCATTTCCATGGCACTTGTTCTTCCCGACACTCTAGCTCCGTGTGTTCTGACTCGGCTTAATCTGCAACCTCTGCAGGGAGATTACTAAGAAGAACCAGGGCAGTACGGCAGAGGACGGCCGTGCCATGGTCCCCTGTTCACCCTGATTAGCACTCAAGTTCCCCTTGGGGTCTCTGGTAAGTTTCAGCCTTGCCTGTATTTAGTGTTGTCAAAATGAAAAAAAAATGGGGGATCAGCTACATCCATCAGGGGTGGATGTACCTACGCCCACCCAGCAGGAGAGGAACACTCCTCAGTACCCTTTCTTCTGGGTTGCCTGCTGGGGGTCAGTGCCAAGGCCTGCCTCAGACTCCCATGAGATGAGTGGGCACCTCTCGGGCTCTGCTCTGGGTGCTTTGATGTGCCCTGTTCTAGGCAGCCCCTCTCCTTCCTAGGGGACAACCAGCCCACGGACAGCACTGGGGACTAAGATTAAAAAACTAGAGCTTGGAAAGTTTCAGTGAGTGGCCAGGGGGAGGCTCAGCTGGGAGGCTCAGCAGCCCAGACTCCCAAGTAGAGGCCAAATCCAAGTTCCCAATCACAGAGTCAACAGACGTCATGTGAATCTGTTTGCAATTAGGATCCTATTTTCATTTTCTACCTGGTTAGCCTTCGGGAGACTTCACTCTGTGCTAAGAAACCACCACAATACATGCATGTGCAAAGACACACACACACACACACACACACACACACAGACACACACACAAGCGCACACGCTCCAAGAGTTCCAGAATAAACCTGAAACACCCGGCGTATTTGCTCATCAGTCCTCACGTCCTACATGAATCGGGAAACTGACGCTTAGTAAACAGAGAGCAACAAGCTTTATCTCCATGGCAACGCTGCACACCTCGGCTGACTGCTTTTCTGGCTCTTGCCAAGGAAGGAATCCTTGTTCACCACCACCTGTAACCACCAGCAGGGGCAGCCTGGTCAGCACCAGGCAAGTGAAGCACGGGTTTCCCTAGCCTGTTATTTAGAATCCACTTGGGATCACCTATAATTGCAACCTGTGCTCACGCGGGAACGTCGGGAACTCCCCTTGGTCTCAGCATGGACATGACTGGCCCCGGAGACAGGCGGCACAGTGCCCCGTGTGTACTCTGGCTGAGCCAGAACACAGGAGGCCACGCGATGGGCCAGACCAGCTCCACACCACCCTGTGGTGTTCTGGAATTATCCACTTCCCACAAACATTCCAAAGCCCTGGTTTTACAGAACACGGGCTGCATTACACATGCATTCAAAATACAGCCTTGGAACCCAAGAGCAAACAGTTTCTAGGCTAAAGGTAGGTTTTTGTAGGTAGTATAATAATCATAAATTACGCCTATGTAAGCAGGCACGTTGCATGTCTAACATACAAGATTCCTATCCAACACCCACTCACACGTCAGCCCACGACTGGAGTCCTGAAGCTGGCTTTAGTCCCGACAACGACAAGACTTTGGCGAACGGAAACCTACAGGGAACCTTTCACCTGTAATCACAGCATCCTTACTGCTCATTTTCTCTTCTGTACCATTTTTTTTTTTTTTTTTTTTTGCTCCGGGATCTTCCCCCACCCATCACCTCAGTCCATCTCCTACCTTCCTTCAGCCCGTACCACCTACCAACCACCATCATCCCCTGGCACCTCCAGGGGATTGGTTCCAGGATGCCCCCTTGGATACCGGAATCCACGTCGTTCAAGTCTCTCGTACCAAATGGCCTAGTATTTGCATCAAAACTATGGACAGCCTTCCATTACTAGGTCACTTCTAATACAATGTGAGTGCTGTGTTAATAACTGTCGTCCTGTATCGTTTACAGTATGACAAGGGGAAGTCTGTCCGTGTTCAGTATGGATGCAACTTTGTGTTTTTGAGGGCGTTAGGTACTGGGGATTGAACTCAGGGGCACTTGACCCCTGAGCCACATCCCCAGCAATATTTATTTTGTATTTTATTTAGAGACAGGGTCTCACTGAGTGGCTTAGTGCCTCGCTGTTGCAAGGCACTAAGATTGAACCTGCAATCCTCCTGCCTCAGCCTCCTGAGCCATGCGATTACAGCATGTGCCACTGCACCTGGCCAGATGCAACTTTTAAAAATATTTTTGGTCCGTAGTTGGTTGAATCTACAAATGCAGAGCCTGCAGATAGCAGGGGCTGACTGTGTATGCTCCATGATGAATACTGGCATGATGCGTCTGCACATGATCACTTTTTACCGTTGTACTTGCTGGGGCCAACATAAGGCTGTCGTATCACCAGCAGAGACTGGTCTCCAGGTCATTTTCACCCGCCTGTGGCTTACATATGCATCATAAAGGATAGTAAAAGAAATGGCTAATCTGGTATGTTCAGCTATTCTTACTTTAAATAGCTGATTTAAGCCACACGGGGCAAACAGTGACATTCCCAGGGGCTCTCTGAGCAAAAAAGTATAAGAGATGTGATTCTGCAATCTGAATACAGGGTAAAAATGGAAGTTCATAATCCACTTGAATCAAATGTAAAAATGTCAAGAGCTTCGTAATGTTTTGAACAACTAATAATAATAATAATAAAATAGTTTAAAAAATAAAAAAATAAATTTGAAACAAACAAACAAAAAAAGTATAGGAGTGTGAGTCTGGCACTGCCAGGCCAGCTCCTGTCACTGCATTAACAGGAAGGGATATGAAGTAAAAGGGAGGGGACAGTGAACAAGGACAGTGAGTTTCCTTTTGTGCAAGAGCCATAACCCTCGAGGACCAAATATCACACTAGAGAACCAGAGAATGAGGTGGCCAGGGGAAGGCCGGGTCCCTCGAGACAACTGGGAGCCACTTCCTATGGGTCCTGTCCCGCTGGGGGTGCTGAGGTGCTGACCCTCGCAAACCGACGGACCCCCCAGTCATCAGAATGGTGGTGTTCACAAACGACAGCAGCAGCCGTCACTGCTGTCCGGTGCCTGTCTGAGCTAATAAGCCAGGCCTTTTGTCCTTCCTAGGGCTGGGGACTCCCGTCTGGAGACTGAGCCAGAGCCTGGCTCCAGGACACGATGGAGATGCCACCTTCCACCCAGGCCCATGTCTTTGCAAAGCCAAGGCTGCACTATACTGCAAGGAAGCACAACCCAGCCTTCTGCGTGCTTTCTTTTCTCTTTGTGCTTCCTTTTTATAAGCAGGCATGTGTTTGCACACACACACGCACGCACGCACACACACACACACACACACACACCTGATCTTATGCAGACAACATGCCCCGGGGAGCAATTGGAGAGCAACAGTGAGGTGCTCTGTTTTGGGTGTGTGTACCCCCCCTAAATTTCAGGAATTGACAAGTTAATTCCCAAATTCCTCTGGGGGCCGTATGTGGAGGTGCACCTTTGGGGGTAGGTCTAGTCCTTATTGCTCTGACTCCACAGCCTTGGTGGTCTCTGGCCTCAGAGACGAGCAGGTCCCTGGAGCAAACGGGCTTCTCAAGGTGCAGGGGCTGAGAACTACTGTGGGTCTCAGCGCTGCCCTGCAGGTAACACAGAAACGATGCAGCGCTCTGACGTCCTCCAGGCCGAGTCCTTATGTCCCCTGGGCTCTGGAAGGCGCTGCCTGGGCTCCACCGTGGTGGTACCTGCAGGCGGGGTCTTTGGGAGGTGGTCAGGTTCAGGCAAGGACCTGAGGGTGGGTCCCCATGGTGGCACTAGTGTCCTTGTAAGAAGAGAAATCAGAGGAGACTTCCTCTCTGTCCGCCACGTGAGGACACAGTGAGAAGGCTCCCTCCACAAGACGGGAAGGGAGCCCGCCCCCAGAGCCAACCAGGAGAACTCCTGACGGTGAGACGTCTGGGCTGCAGAAGAGGGGGAAAACCAGCGGGGAATTCTGCCTCGGAAGGCCCAGCTGACTGAGATGACCAATCAAGGGCTTCTCACGAGATGACATTTTACAATAACCTGATGGTCTTCCCTCCAATGTCAGAATCCACGCCCCAGGGTAGGGGTCAAAAGGGGCAGCACTTCCTCAGACGACTGGCCCGCCTCTGCCGACTCGGGCTGCTGTGTCCTCTCAGCTCTCCACACCCACAAGGACTTCGAGGCGGGTCAGGGGAGCATGGTGTCACCACAAACCTCTGAGAGAGTGTGAGGCGACAAGGGACGCACGACCCACCAGGACAGCAGTGTGGAGAGGGCCACCCACCTCTGGACCGTTTCACTGGGAAAATTCATGCAGAGGGCAGATGCATTTCAATAGGCTCGTTGGTGGCCAAGACAAGAAACCAGCTCCCAAGGCTGGACTCCAGTCCCTCAAGGCCCCCAGGGCTCTGACTCCACAGCTGACCACCGTCTGCCCACACTTTCCTTCCTTCCTCTGCTCCCTCCCACCTTTGGGCTTCTGACCAGCCCCTATCAGCGCCCAATACTGTGCGTCACCCAGGAATCAGGGTGGGCATTCCGTGTGCCGGCCAACGGGGGGCAGCACTGGGCCAGGATACACACAGGCAGAGCTGGAAGGGAAAGGCAGACCCACCGCTGTCCGTAGGAGATTCTGGAAAACCTGAAGAGAGCCCTCCCCTCCCCAAGCTTACCTTTCAGAGTAGGAAGAGGGCTGTCTGGTCCGTCAAGTCGTCCCAAAGGGTCGTTCGGATCTGGAACCTCCACTTCCCCTGGGAAAGCCAACAGAGAGGTTCCTTAAACACAGGTCCACTTGAGGAGGCCAGGACAAAGACAGGTATTCAAGCAAAGCCGCCCACCCACGGTTCGTAGAAAATGTGGAGGGATCAGACGTTGGGCTGAATTCTATGGGGCTTTCACAGAACCGGATCTGATACAGTAGTAAAAGGGATTTCCAAGCTAATCCCAAGAACAGCACAGGCAGTATGAAGCCCTCGGTGTGGCCCAGAGAGAGGGGAGGGGGGAAAGAAGCGAAGAAATTAAAGCGCTGGCTGGCAAACAACACACGTCTGCAGCCAGATTCAGCAGCCCCCCAGATGGGGTTTCCTGGGAATCAGGGGACAAAGTCAGAATTGGGGACTTTCTGAAGTGACTCATTCTCCTCCCCTACCCCAGACCCACCAGCAGTAGCCCAGCAAGGATGGAGTCCACAACTGTCCATGACCATCTAACCCCAGCTGCCCACTCTACAGAGACCACTGGGTGTGTCTCCAGCCACCCCAGGTGCACCCAGACACAGCGACAAGCACAGACTTAGTCTGAACACTCAGCTTCACATACGCACAGTGAGGTGCCCACAATCCCAGGGTCCCGGGAGAAGGGTGGGCAGGGTGGCGGATGCCCAGGAAGCTGCCTCATGCACTCTTCTCCTATCCCACCTGCCCAGGCCACTCACATTGACTTTCTGGCCTTGCCCAGTACCTTGACCTTGGCAGGGTCCCACTGGTTGAGGGGTGGGTGGAAAGGTTAAAGTCAGGGGTGACGTGACCACACCCAGGATGGACCTGGGTTTGTGCTATGAAAAGCCCGTCCGAGAACAGCAGACACAGGTAATGCTCATTGCCTTAAAGTGGAGAGGACCCTCACGCATGCTACAGCAGGGACGACCCTTTAGAACAACACTGGGCACTGAAGGACAGGTCGTGTGCCACTCCACTGCCATGAGGTATCCAGAGCAGTCAAGTCCACCAAGACGGACAGCCAAGGACAGTGGCTGCCAGGGGCTGGCCAGCAGGAACGGGGATCTGTTTAATGGGGACGGAGCTTCATCTGGGGAAGTCATTCCTGAAGACGGGTGGTGGCCACGGTGGCACAGCAACACGCATGCACGTAAGCTCGTGAAGTTGTACCTTGAACATGGTTCACGCAGCAAATTTTTTGGCATGTGTACTTATCACAATTTCTAAAAATATATCAGAGACAATTTTTTGATTCTATCACAGGTGATTCCATCTGGCTAATAAATGAGAGCCCATAATTAACAACTCTCTGGGCATTTTGAGACGCCTCTGTAAGAGGAGGGTTTGTAGGAAGAGCTGGGTATATGACCATGAGGGCAAATGGTCTGCAGAGAGAACCAGGAAGGCACAACTTCAGACCGTCTGGCTAAATAAGGACCTCCAGACTAGTCCCTTGGTCCTCTGGGTGCTTCTGGTCCCTGCCCCATGGGGCTCAAGAAAGCACCCTCCTCACCTGATGGGCAGGAGGGGACCCGGGACTTTTCACTTCTGGCACAAACATCCCTCTGGGGCCATCTTTAATAAAACATCCCGGACCCTATAATCTTCCTCCAAACCATATACTTCTTCTAGGGCAATCACACCTCTTCCCCCCAGTTAAAAGTTGCATCCACTTACATCGTACAACAGGTTGAGGAAGCAGGTGCTGCGTTCAGGGGGACGGGCTAGTGGTCCTGGTCATTAAGACCGAGACAGAAGTATAAGCCCTTCGAGGCAGCCAACAAATTTCTGCTCAAGAAACAGGACTCGAGTTTAGATTTGAAGTTTTAAATTGGCATATTACACCTACTGGCACTCAGCACTGTTTAAATGTAGAAAGACCACATAAACTTGCACTATATACACACAGGTCGAAAGGAGGCATAAAAAGCACTCACTGCTTAGAAACTGACAAATGGTGGGAGGCAGTCAAATAAATATAGGCCCCGAAGAAAAATAAGCTCCAGGATCCCAAGTCCACGGTGGAACAGATTCCAGGCGCTTCTCGGTCAGCTTCTCATCTGGGAGCAGAGGCGTATTCCCTGTGGACGCTCCTTGTGGATGGGATGGAGGAGATTCACCTGCTGCTTTTATTCTTGGCAGGTGCAGCCTCTGCATGCACATGCAACACCACTGCTATCAACCCTGGGAGTCTCTAGGAATACGGTCTGTTGCTTTGGGGTCTGATTTTGTTTCTTGCGGCCTCCTGGGCCACCCTAAGGCCAACGATTTTGGTAATTTGAGTAAAGGAGTGTATCATATTTGGAATGACAGGTTACGTTCCAAGTTGATACCGGAGCCCCACCAGCTTTGGGACTTAGATACGAAAGGATGTACAGGCCGAGCGTGATTCCCTCTGCAAGTCAGGTGTGTTTAATGTGATCTTGGTGTGAAATCACCAAGATCCCGAGAACAGAAACCTTAGGTTCTAGCAAAACTGGGTTCTGTTATTATTGGCTCCCTGAAAAATGAAGACGCCATCTCACATCAGAAGGGTGAATACCGTACAAGAAGATATTTCCAGAAAGAAAAGAGAGACACATAACTTTTATTACAACACATTGTGGTAACTTCCTACTTTATTAGTAACTGTCATTTTCTTATTGTGCCTGATTTATAAACTAAAACTTGATCATGGGTATGGACAAACAGGAAAAACACAGCGTCTGTAGAATCCTGAACTATCTGCCATTCCTAAAGGAATCCACTGGGGGTCTTAAGAGGGTCTTCCTCACATGGGGGTGGAGAGGATGGGGCTTCTTGACCTCACAGGCCACTGGGCTTTCCCCTGCTACAGGAACAGTCACCTGGCTGATGACAAGTTCATGAAGCAAAGCCTGCATCCATCGTAACTGGCTGGACACACCTTGAAGGGCTACAGAAAGACATGGATTCCTCCGTGTTGCCAGAGAACAGAGTCTGAGAGCAGACCTATCTGTCTTAGCTCCCCAGGACTTCTTTATGCATCTTCTGAAAAGGAGGACACTGCTCTGGGTGAATCACATGCCCTTCATTTTAGTGAAATGCTGACAGGTGACCACATATGTCAACAAGACTGGCAGGTGTATGTGCACAGCATTCCCGATGTCCCCCTCCACTGGATATGCTGGAAAACCACAGGAAGAGTGACATGGTAACTGGTGGTGCATCAGCTCCTGCTGGTTTCCTGATGTCTAAAGAGAGGGAAGCATTTAATATGAAACAAAAATATATGTGCGCCCGGTTATTATGAAGCGAGTGTGCGGAATGTATAGTTTTGTCCGCGTTGAAAACATCCATTACAGCCTTGAAGGAAAGACTGAGTGTAATGTGGAATCCAAGATGGGTCAGAAAGGGGATATTAGGTTTTAAAAAAGGAAATATGAGTAGTATGGATTCTGGTCAAGAATGATTTATTAACGTGGTGTGACCCAGGTACCAGGCTAATGTCACATGTTAACAAGTGGGAAAACTGCACATTCCATCTTCCTGTTCCAGCCCATAACAAAGCTCACAGGTAAGAAACAGCCTGTCTCCAAAAACCTTACCTCCTAATGACACAGTCATTAGAAATGCCCCAAAGCCAAGCATGAATGCCAACCAAATAAACAGAAAGGACCCAGCCTAATTGGGGTTGGAGACAGGCATTCAGTGATCCACACAACCTTCCAGAAGGGCTCAGAAACAAGATACTCTGGAGAATGTGGGCGTCTCTAGAGCCGAGTTCTATACTAATCGTCATTGGCAAGGCGATATCCGTTCTCTTATTTTTCTTTTATTTGTTCTTTTTAGTTATGCATGACAGTAGAGACTGTTTTGACATATTTGTAAAAACATGGAGTATATCTTACTTTAATTAGGAACTCTGTCTTGTGGATGCACAAGATGTGGAGATTCACTGTGGTGTATTCATACATGTGCATAGGAAAGTTGTGTCCCATTCCTTCCACTGTCTTTCCTACTCCTATCCCCAGTCCCCTCCTCATTCCCCTTCGTCTAATCCACTGAACCTCTATTGTCATCACCCCCCTTATTGTGAGTTAGCTTCCACACATCAGAGACCTTTGACCTGTGGCCTTTGGGACTGGCTTAGTTCACTTAGCAGGGTAGTCTCCAGAGCCATCCATTTACTGGCAAATGCCGTAAGGTCATTCTTCTTTACGGCTGAGAAACATTCTGTGGGGTGTATGTACATTTTGTTGATCCATTCATCTGACGAAGGGCACCTAGGTTGGTTCCATAGCTTAGCTATTGTGAATTGAGCTGCTGCAAACACTGATGTGGCTGCATCACTGTAGTAGGCTGATTTTACATCCTTTGAGTATATACAGAGGAGTGGGACAACTGGGTTAAAGAGTGGTTCCATTCCTAGTTTTCTGAGGAATCTCCATACTGCTTTCCATAGTGGTTGCACCAATTTGCCGGCCCACCAGCAACGCATGAGTGTGCCTTTTACCCCACGCCCTCACCAACATTCATTGTTCCTTGTATTCTTGAAAATTGCCACTCTGACTGGAGTGAGATGCAATCTCAGTGTAGTTTTAATTTGCATTTCTCTAATTGCTAGAGATAGTAAACATTTTTTCATGTATTTGTTTAGTTCCTTTGCCCATTTATTGACTGGGTTATTTCTCTTTTTGATGTTAAGCTTTTTGAGTTCTTTGAATACTCTGGAAATGAACACCTTATCTGAGATGCAGGTGGCAAAGATTTTCTCCCCTTCTGTAGGCTCTCTCTTCATATTCTTGGTTGCTTCCTTTGCTGTGAAGAAGCTTTTCAGTTTGACACTATCCCACTGATCCATTTTTTAAATTTTACTTCTTGCACTCTGGGAGTCTTGTGGAGGAAATCAGTTCCTAAGCTGACATGTTGGAGTGTTGGGCCTACATTTTCTTCATAAATAGACACTGTATACCATGCGAGCAAAACCCTTAAGGAAACCCTCTTAATGTGAACCTTTCATGTGGCCTCTTGACTGATGGAATCAATAGGAGAAATTAATATCTGCCAAGTAGCAAGAGAGTGCATCCTGATTCCCAGGCTCACTCTTTAGTAATATGATAATCTCACTCTCATTCACCACAGACAGACAATCCAGCGAGAATTTACTAAGGAAGTTCAACCTATGCCCTTGGACTTGAATCCATGTTGTTATTCTGTTTTTGACTGGTGCTCCTTTTAATCACGTTTTGCTATTCGAACTCTTCATCCATGAATCTCTTCACCTGTGGATCTGAACCAGCGTGCTCACTGTGATGTCATTAGATGCAGTTTGCAGACGGAACATTGGAAACCTTCAAAGCCGTCTCCTTTTAATCAGTGAGGGGATTCTATTCGCCAAAGCTTGGCCTTCTCAGATTTGGTTTGTCCCAAGATTTCCAGGATGTGCAAGAAAGAGCACAGGTCAGGAGGCTGAACCTTTGGAAAACCAGGAGCCTGTTGGGGAGCAAGGAGGTCCCTGATAATGGGCAGGGCTGTCTGGAAGCAGCACATCCACCTGTCTGCCTGCAACTGAAGTACCAGTCAGGTGCTCCAGAACAAGTACTTACCTCAGCATCGTGTCAAATCAAAACCAGCCCTGATGCTGGAAATGCAAGAGTTCAGGGAAAAAAATGATAATTGTTACCCAGCAGCATATCAAGTCCTGAAAAGGTGAGTCCATGAGTCTGGGACCTGGGCCAGGCAGAGTGTGTCAATACTAGAGAAACCCGATAATGTTTGGGGAAATACTCCTATTAAAACATTATTCCATGTGTGTTTTAATTGCCAGCTGGAAACCCATGCGGCATTCAAGGTGAGTTGCCAGGATCTAATTGGTAGTGGTCTTAACAGTTTGTAATTTTTTATTTTCATTATGTCTAACTCTGAGCTGAGTAAATATTAGCCTCTGGGT